GCGCGCGGAAAATGTTTCACTCGAGTCGAGGTGAGTCTGTGCACAGGTGCAGTAGAATGGATAATACGGATGTATGCACCCTCATTGCACTATATTATTTTTACAAAAAGAAACAGCGACGACGCAGAAGGTATTGGGTGCATCCTGTGTTGCAAGACCGATTTAAATTTGGTGCTTTTAGTACACTGTTTGAAAAACTACGACATGACAACGCAAAGCATGTTAATTTTTTTAGAATGTCAAAAGAAACATTTGACAAGTTACTGACAATTTTATGCATCCATTTGAAACATGACGACACCAATATGCGGAACTGCATTTCTCCTCCTGAAATGCTAGCAGTGACACTGAGGTGAGTACACGTTCAAATTGTTTACTTGCTTGAAAATATTTATTTGTTATACACAAATGAACACCTTAATTTAAAAAAGCTCTCGGTAAAAGAAGTGAAATGGAAAATGAATTACTTTTATCTACCTTAACAAGGACACAAATGCCCCTTCTCATTCAATAGACCCAAAAACAAATGAAAATGTCCAATATTGATATAAATTACTAATTTCCAGTAACACAAATGAAAAGTACCTTAAATTAATTGTATCCTCCTTATTAAGGTAGCCACCAAAATTGATAGTTGTCTTTCATCCTTTTTATACACTCACATTATCAAAGATGACAAAACACTCCACATTTTAGATTTCGTTAGAAAAATCGAAAGTCTCTGAAACATTAGATAAGACGGATGCAGGACTAGTATAAGATTCAAAATACGTCTGTTCACTAGATGCAGCACTTGTACTAGTTGAGGCTTGTGAGTGTTTGGCAAGGGAATATATTGGATGGCCATGATGTTGATTAGCCCATGATGTCTGGTGGTATGATGATGGACCTGCGACAGTTTGGTATCCACGTGATGTATGACATTGGTTCCCGGAAACTTCAGAGGATTGTGGACGCATTCCACTCTTTCGATGTTTTGACGTAATACTTTTAATCAGTTTCATGACTTGATATTGAAAGTAGACGATATCTTCATCATAAAATTTGTCTACAGTTGGTGCAATGCCTTTAAAAAGAAGACATAATTCTGCTTTGGCCCTGTTAAATTGAAGCGTCGATGATAGTCATCATTTTCCTGTCCAATTCATTTGTAGCTCTTGTTTTTTGGTGGTTTTTCTCTATGTTCAAGATTACGTTTGTCCTCTTGCCTCTCAGCCTGCCTGTCAGCAAGGTTAACGTTATCAGGCATATTTGAAGTAGTTTGTCGATGAGTTGCTATTTTTGCCAGAAATCATAGTTGCGCCTCTTTGCTCCAGAACCACTCTTCTCCTCCTCGTTTAATTTCTTGTGACATTTCATCCAGTTATCCCTGATGTTTGCCCATTTTTTCATCACCAGTTTTCCTGGAAAAAGAAACGAAAAAGAATTAAATCTATGTTTTTTTTCCACGTACTTAGCAACAGGAAATACATTCATAGATCTCCATTACAGTTTCAGACTGGGAATAAAAACAATTAGTAGAATTGTACGTAGCTGATTCCAAAAGTAAGGTCTCCAAAGCGCTGGGTAATTTTTCGTGCGGCTGTTGGCAACCCTGTTGCATTCGTTGCTCCCCCCACTCCCTCCAATACCTCCAAGCGTGCACGCACATAGCTAGGACAGCTAGGACGCTCAGTCTTGGCACGGTTGCCGTTAGAAATGGAGCTCCAGATTACTAAAACCGCGAAGTGTGAGATTCGCGCAGTTATTCGGTTTTTGAACGCAAAAGGGACTAAACCAATTGAAATTCATCGTCAATTGGTGGAAGTGTATGGCGAGTCATGCATGGACATAAAGAACATCCGCAAGTGGTGTAGGGAGTTTGAATCTGGTCGTACTGCAATACACGACGAAAAAAGAACTGGGAGACCGTCAATTTCTGACGAGACAGACGCGAAGATTGAGCGAGTCATGCGTCAGGATAGGCGCATCACACTCGATGATCTCTGCATTTCGGTTTCCGAGGTTTCCCGAACCACCATTTATCGGCTTTTGACAGAGAAGTTGAATTATCGGAAGGTGTGCACAAGATGGGTCCCGCAAATGCTCACGGAAGACCACAAACGGCAGAGAGTTGACTCTTCCCGTGAATTTTTTCGCCGCTATGCTGACGAAAAGGACAACTTCTTGAATTCAATTGTCACAGGTGACGAAACCTGGGTGTACCACTTCACACCTGAGACAAAAAAACAATCACGTCAGTGGCGGCATTCCTCTTCGCCTAAGCCTCGAAAATTCAAGCAAACACAGCCTGCTGGTAAAGTCATGGCAACTGTGTTTTGGGATCGAAACGGGGTGTTGGTTGACTTTATGGAAACTGGGACCACAATAAACGCTGAGAGATATTGTGAGACACTGAGAAAACTCAGGCGGGCGATTCAGAACCGGAGAAGAGGGATGTTGAGCAAGGGCGTAAGCATTCTCCACGATAACGCTTGCCCCCATGCTGCCCAACAAACCGTCGTGCAACTGCAACAGTTTGGATGGATCATCACCCATCCACCCTATAGTCCGGACTTGGCGCCCAGTGACTATCATCTCTTTCCAAAGTTGAAAGAACATTTGTCTGGAAAGCGCTTCGACGACGACGATGAGGTGAAAGCTGAGGTTCGAAGTTTCCTGAACAGCATGGAGGTGAACTGGTATGACATGGGCATACAAAAACTGCCACTGCGCCTACAAAAATGCATCGACCAAAATGGCGATTATGTAGAGAAATGAGTACATGCTCAAGATTCAACTGATGTATCCAAAATTGAAAATAAATGTTTATTTTATATTTTCAAATATAGGAGACCTTACTTTTGGAATTACCCTCGTACATGAGGTTTGCATGAAGATGTGGTTGTTATTATATAGAACATATATGCCAATTCCGCCAGTCAGTGAATGGATGGATATAGCACGTCAGTTTCAAATTACCGCAAATTTTCCAAACTGCAAGCACATCAGGATTATCAAACCAGAAGAGAGTGGTTCAATGTTTTTCAATTATAAATGTTATTATTCGTTAGTCCTGATGGCAGTAGTGGACGCAAATTATAATTTCATTTTTGTGGATGCCAGTGATTATGGAAAGGATTGTGACTCAAGTGTGTTTAAAGGAACGTCGTTATGGAAAAAGCTGCAAGTAAACACACTGAGCATACCTCCTCCCAGGGCACTGTCAGATATTGAAGGGGAACTGCCATATGTTTTCGTAGGTGACGAAGCTTTTGCATTGCATAATAATTTAATTCGTCCCTATGGTAGCCGAGAACTTGACCACATTAAGCGAATTTTTAACTATCGCTTAACTAGAGCAAGACGATTTGTAGACTGTGCATTTGGTATGATGATAAATAAGTGGAGGATTTTTCACCGGCCTTTGAATGTCTCCACAGATTTTGCGACTGACATAGTAAAGGCTTCTTGTGTTCTTCAGAATTTCATCCATAAAGAAGAGGGACTTAATACTATGTGTGCCGATACGACTATAGATGTGGACTTGGAACTAAGAGAACTCCCTCGCTCACAAGCAGTACGAGGTGGTTTGTCAGCGAACTCTATCAGAAATAATTTCGCTAAGTACTTTGTTTCCAAAGCTGGAAAAATTCCATGGCAGAATAAGTTCGCTTAATGTATTAATGCATTATGTGCAGTAATGGAGATAATCTACGAACTCAGCACTGCCAATGCCATAAATTCACTGTCTCACAACTTCTTGTGAGAATCTTTATTATTAGTGAATATTTTGTTGGGAAATCATTGTTAGCAGTTTATTTGTTCAATGTGCAATTTTTAAATCACAAGTTCATTGCTAGATAATATCGTATCTGCACATGGAGAATGTTTTGACAATAGCAGTCATTTTTATGATATTAATAAAATAACTGAAAACAGACAGTAAGTACAGATAGAAAGTATGTACTGTGTATTAATAAAATTATCACACAAAAAATTAAGATGAAAATTACGTACCTATATCATTTCTCTCCTTATTTCCCAGTGTTTCAAAATCTTCTTTAAGGTGTGAGTATACATCCTTCCAAGCTTGCAAAGTTAGCCGCCTGTCTTTGTACGCTTCACTTGACTTATCCCACAGTACTGGTCTTTCCTTGACAAGCGTAATTAATAATTCATAGTCAATATTGAATTCTGCGCTCATTGTAATGAAAAGAATACTACAGGCACAAAACACATGAAACTTGCACGCTCAAGACCAACTGATGACTTGACGGCGAGCTCGCCGGCTCATGGACATGTAGACATGTTAATGCATGTCCCACTGAGAACATGGTGCACCATCCAGCTGCCGTCTCTACAGTGGGAATCCGGTGCTGCATCCAGCAGCCGGACCAGTAGATTTGCCGTGATGGCTCGTGGACAAACTCTCATATGAAACAAAGCATCACTACCAACCGGGTAAATCTATCAGAATGGCGGACGGCGAAAATTCTTGTCATGGACAAGGGCCCTTAGTGTGAAATGTGCTTGGATGTTGGCAGACACCATTAGCTACTGTAACATCCAACAAGTAAACTGGCTTTATCAAAATATTCCTTTTAAATGCAGATGGAACCTCCAATTAAATTAAATAGTTTTGGTTACCTCATCCAAGATACATCAATCACTAGCTGGTGTCCCACTCTATCAACAGGTGAAGGCTGCAAATAAAGGACTGAACTCCTCTGTTTAATTTTCTAAAATCTTGAACATTAAACATGCAAAGAAAAAATTCTTAAATCCATGTTCCTCTGAATTTCCATTCCACATCAACAGGATCTCTGCCAGTCAAAAAGTGGAAAGGAATACATGAATCTACAGTGAAACCCAAAGTTTAGGTTCCCATATTTAACAGTTTTCTGCTGACCCATCTTGTGGGATGGAACTATCAATGGCACAAAGTTGTCACATTCAGACAGTAGTACATTAACCTGGGACTGGTAACAGAACTACAGATGCCATGAGGATTGCCTTACCTTCTTCTCACTCTCTACTGCTGAGTGCAGTTTGAAGACACACACATATTCCTTTCCTGCATTCTGCTGGGACTTGGCAAGCCGCGTTGCTTTCTCAATACATACGATGAGGCAGCCTGTACATTAACCCCTCTCATCACTGAACTCAGTCTTACCACAAAATGGCATGCAATCACTATCAAGTGCAAACAAATTCCAAAGTCTAGTCCCTATCTGTAAATGCCAGAACCAAACCAGGACAGGATATACAAACTAAACACAACAAGTTAAGAAAAACATTACAATATTCCACTCACAAGCCCGTGCATCTATGACCATGCATAATTTAACACAGTCCAGTCTCCAAAATGTCATTTTAAATAGAAAACAGGACAATGGATAATGAATAGAAAGTCAATAACTGCATTAATATACCACTGTCACAAACTTTTAGACCTTATTTAAATTCTAAAGGGTTCTGACCACTGTGTATAACACTAGGAATTATGGGAACTTTGGACTTGTCTATTGCCTGGTATTATGAGGAGCACAGTGTTCTGGAAACTGAGTATGTTTGTCCTCATGTGAGGGGATGACAGACATGTACTCTGTCAGGTCCATTAGAAAGAGCTAACCTCTGTCAGCACAACTATAGCTGTGTGTGTGTACTGGTTCATCCTGTTATGTGAGAGAGCCAGTGCGATCCACACAGTTGTCTTGCACTCCTCTTGCTTCACTTTATTCTGTGAGTGGGCCAGCAGGAGCTGATGAGTTGTCTTAGTTTCTTCCCATTACCTATATAAAACCCAGCTCATGGAACACAAATTCCTCTGATTGCTAAATGCTTCATGCTGGTTTCTTGCTTGGTTTATTCTTTGACCCTAAAGATAAAGGCAATATGTCCCTTGGAAAACTCAGTTGCCTACACACCGTTGTGTATCAGAAGATATCTCTGTCCAATATTCATAAAATTTGTCAAATAGATTTGAAAGGATTCTTACAATGGTGTAAGCTGTACAGAACTATTATGCTTTCTTTGTACTCTATTCACCGTCTGGTATATATATATATAAGACAAAAAACCACAATATTTCAGAAACTGGATTTGTCTCCATCCTCAGGAGGATGGGGCAGGATAGACCTATTTAGTTGGGCCCATTAGAAAGAGCTAGTCCCAGTCACTGGACCACTGGTCCAGTGGTCCCTCAATTTCTGAAATTCTAAAGGGACTCCAACTTCAAAATTAAAATATAAAAAACTGAATTTCATCAAGATTCAAATATAACTGAGTAAACTGAAACGCCATTCTAATTTTGTGATCCCTATGATAAATTAAAATTTGAAAAAATAAGAATACATTTTACCAGCAATCAAAGTGAAAGTATTCTCATGAGATTAGTGACTATACATGGAGTATGGATTGGCAGCTGGATTCATTGGACTCTTAAATACCCATAGCTAAAGTAATTATATCACTACTGATAATTCAAGCGATATACAATTCAGTATGGCACACACTAAGTCTCCTCAGTCTGCTGTGTCTTCGCCAGTCATTGTCTGGTAATAGATCCACTCACGTTACTGGCTGGTGACTGTCTTGCCTCACAGTGTCCTCATATTCTTGGCTTCCAGGCCACAACTGCCTGTGCCTCTTGCTGCGTCTGGCCACCACTGGCAACCACCCTCTATCACTGGCACTGAAGATTGCCTGCAGACTTTCTCGCTTGTCCAGCTGGCCTCCTCCTATAGCCTTGGCATGAACCACATAAAAATCGCTGCCTATAACAGTTACTCCACTGTTGCGTGCGTAACTGTTGCTGCTGTCATAAGATGATCACCAACAGTTGCATAACAACAAATGCTCATTTACACTGATATCACATGTTTACCAGGCTGTAATCTAGCAATGGATGTCTCTTCTCACTCCAGAATTCTGGCTTCAAGTCCTCATACCACAGCATGTAAAACCTCAAATGAACATACATAAAGTGAACAGACGTACATGTACCACTCTGCTTACAAGATGCTCAAATGACTTGCACTAGTTACATGCAGGAACTAGGGGTATTTATTTACCTGTTGTTTTTGGATCCAATGTTCCAGAATGACCAGTTTTCTCCACTTTCAATATCCTCTTAACCCATGCAACTACTTCATGAGAACTTGGATTAGCAGGTTTGTCAAGGTTAAGGTATCCAGAACGTACATATTCACGTATGTCCCTCTTAAGTGGTGAAGCACCAAACGGCAGAGGGGTGTAGTGGTTTGTTCTGCAGCACAACTTGTCAAAGTTCTGAAACATGACAGAATTAAGGTTACAGCTGTGGCATCATAAAAACTGTTCATTACAAATAACAGAGGATCAGCTACCTTCAGTAAAAGTGGCCACTGTGATGTGTCCAGAGGCTGTATCTGCTCTGATGACTCAAGGTGGTAGTCTCCCTCACACTGCACTTCACCCAGCAGCTTGTGGTGTCTCTTCTTCTTCTTCTTCTTAATTTTTTCTTCGTGTCCAACTACAACTGCATAAAAGGCAAACAGAGTAAGTGGTGTCATAACTCTACATCAGAAGCTTAGCTCATCCAGTACAACTGCACTGTCAGATATCTGTCATCTTACATTGTAAATAGCCTGCTGTACTGTGTCTAAAACATATTTGAGGGTGTCACCAGACAGTGACACAGGTCATTACATTATCACTAGAAAATCACTAGAGTTTATTTTCAATACATGTAGGTAACCAAAACTGTCACACCACTAATGTCATTCAACACATGGAAGGCTGCGTAATCAAAGTATGACATATCCTCAGAGAGACTTTATACAGACAATAATGACTTTTATGTGACATTAATGCAAGCACAACACATGAGTTCTAGTACAGTCTAACATGCAACCCTCATTTAATGATTGTACTTCCACAAACCAGTCCTCACTTTAGTTTAATTTTTTACTAATCCAAAACCTTGTCATTATAGCTCTTGAACAAATACATTTCATGAATTGATCTAAAGAAATTGTTGGATTAGAAATGACACCAAACAGGTTTCAATTTCTTCACTGTGGGCCCAAAAAGCTGTGAACAGCAAAGGCAAAATATGCCTCAGTGATAATGGAGGTAAACAGATTGCATATAGTACCTCTCTACAGAAATTTCTGTTGTTAGGTTTCATGATTTTGATACTGCTGCAAGTGATTTACAATTTTTGTATTTCATACTGCCTTACACAGCTTTCAATGCCAAAGTAGGTATGGATGACATTTTCAAACCAACAATTAGGAATGAGAGTTTACACAGTATTATTAATAATAATGGGGTTAGAACAGTAAATTTTGCCACATCCAAAAATCTTATTGTTGAAAGTACAATGTTCCCACATCATAACATTCATAAAATTATTTGCACATCTCCTGATGGGAAAACACAACCAAACTCTTCATATTTTGATAGACAGAAGATGGTATTCAAGTATAATTGATGTCTAATCATTCAGACAGCAGATTGTAATACCACTACCAGCTGGTGGCAAAAGTTAGGGAGAGACTGGCAGTGAGTAAACAAACAATGCACAGAGTTCATATGGAGAAGTTCAACCTCAAGAAATTAAACAAGGTAGAGGGTAAAGAGCAGTACTGTGTTGAAATCTCAAACAGGTTCGCAGCTTTGCAAAACTTAGACACTCAGGTGGATATTAATAGAGCTCGGAAAACTATTGGAGAGAATATCAAAATAGCTGCCAAAGAGAGCTTATGTTATTGTGAATTAAAGAAGCATAAGCCATAGTTTGTTGATGGATGCTCAAAATTATTAGAGCAAAGGAAACATGCCAAACTGCTGTGGTTACAGGATCCAAGCAGAATAAATGGGGATAATCTGATCTATATATGTTGGTCATTTCATAAATAATGCACAGGTTGGCAACACTGATGCAACAACAGTGAGCCTCACGTCAGTTACAATTCAGGGCTTGAGAAAGAAGCGCGTTATTTTGTTTCATTTATAATGTACTCTGTTCTTGAATGACGTGAGTCAGAAATGGAGCCAGCACGGTTCTCGGGTATTGTGACTGTTGAAGACCAAAGGTCGTAAAATAAGATTGAAACTTTATGTGTAAAAACCCAACAGAAATCCACAGTGCTTTAAGTGAAGTTTGTGGAGAGTTAACAGTGGACCGTAGCACAGTTTCTCACTGGGCTAGTCGTTCTCGTGGCGGTCGTGTGAGCATAAATGATGATTCAAGGCCAGGAAGGCCGAAAACATCAACAGATGAACGAAGTGTGAAACTTGTGTCAGATACTCTTGAAGAAGAGCATCGTGCGACATGTGAGGAACTTTCTGAAACCATGGGAATTCCACCAATGTCAATATTCTGAATTCTGACAAATGATTTAAAGAAAAGAAAGATTTCTGCACGATGGGTCCCTTACTGCTTGACTGCTGAATAGAAGCAGAAACGCCTTGACACTGCAACCTTGCTGAAACAAAGATTCGACGTTGAAGGTCAAGCATTCTTGTATCGACTTGTCGCTGTCACTATTGATGAAACGTGGGTTGGACTTTGAACCAGAGCTGAAATCACAGTCCGAGTGGAGAGGTCCATCTTCCCCACGACCAAAATAATTTCGACAATCTCAATCAAAGGTCAAGCAAATGATGATCTTTGCTTATGATCACCAAGGAATCATCGCGACAGAGTTCTGTGTGGGAAAAGTGTCACAGCAGTTTATTATCGTGACTTTATGCAAAATCTGTGCAGAAAAATGCACAAAACCCGACCTCAATTGCTCAAGGGTGGGCCGATCATTCTCCATGACAACTCTCGCCCGCGTCGCAACAGAAAAGCTGCGCCAATAGGGTTGGGAGGTGTTGCCTCACTCCATACAGCCCAGACATGAGTCCACCAGACTTTGACTTATTCCCAAAGTTAAAAAACCTATGCGAGGCCGTCATTCTCCCTCTCTGGAAGAGCTTTCTGCTGCAGTTACCCAAGCCATTCAACAGCTAAACAAAGATGGTGTCCTGGATGGAATAGTAAAGCTTCCCACAGGTTGGAACTCAGTCACTGAGAAGTAGAGGGGCTATACTGAAGGACTGCAGAGAGATATTATAAAAAATAAACATGGACATAAACAAAAAATTGTGTGCATTATTTCTAAAATGACCTACGTAAGATGTGAAAACCGCAGGCATTTCAGGAATAAAATAAGGGAATATCTGAAAGACAAAATTAATGAGCCTGCAAAGAACAATAAGAACAAGAACATTAAGAGACCTGTATAGGGGAATAAATGACCGCCTCTGTGGTCTAGTGGTCAGCGTTCGGGGCTGCAGATCCAATGAAACTAGTCAGGCTGATTAAAATGTGTTTAAACAAAATGTATGGCAAAGTCTGTATACATAAACGTCTGATAATTTTACCTATCCAGAATGGTCTAAAACAAGGAGATGCTTTATTGCCATTCCTTTTCAACTCTGCTTTAGATTATGCCACTAGGAAGGTCCAGGAAAACCAGCTGGGACTGAATTTAAATGGGACACATCAGCTGTTGGTCTATGCTGATGATGTGAGTCTACTGGGTGATAACAAAGAAACCATAAAAACACAAACTTTAACTGACCCTAGTAAGGCGATTGGTCTAGAAGTAAACACAGAGAAAACTAAATAGATGTTGCTGTCTCGTCACCAGAATGCAGGGCAAAATCACGAAATAAAAACCTGATAACAGATGTTTCGAAAATGTGGCACAGTTCAGATATTTGGGGCTATAACGAACCAAAATCTCATTCAGGAGGAAATTAAGAAGAGACTGAAATTTGGGTAATCAGTCCATAACTTTTTGTCTTCTCGTCTTCTGTTCAAAAACATAAAAATCAGAATATACAATACTACAATTTTGTCCATGGTTCTGTATGGATGTGAAACTTGGTCTCTGACATTAACGGAGGAACTTAGACTGAGGGTGTTTGAGAACAGGGTGTTGAGGAAAATATTTGGACTGAAGAGAGATGAAGTGACAGGATGTTTGAGAAAGCTGCATAATGAGGAGCTTCATAACTTGTACTCTTTGCCAATTATAATCAAAATGATCAGTCATGGAGGATGAGTTGGACAGGGCAGGGCATGCAGCATGAATGGAGAAACAGAATGCATATGGGATATTGGCAGGAAAGCCAGAAGGAAAGAGACCACTAGGAAGGCCAAAACATAAGTTGGTAGACAATATTAAAATGGATCTTAGAGAGATAGGATGCGATGGGATGTTATGGATTGGATTGATCTGGTTCAGGATAGGGACCAGTGGAGGGCTCTTGTGACCATGGTAATGAACCTTCATGTTCCATAGAATGCTGGGAAGTTTTTGAGTAGCTGGACAATTGGTGGCTTCTCAAGAAGGGCTCAGCTCCATGAGTAAATTACACAGCTCAAGCACAAAATTCTATCCATTTTACAGAGCCTCTGCACCAGGTAACACACACACACCATTAAAATAAGCTAGTAAGATGAAAATCTGGGCCTGATATGCTTAAATCAGAAGGAAATATTCAATGTGCCAGAACAGGAAACTTCACAATATGTACACTTCTACCCAAATATGTTAACATGAAAACACATGTGGAACAAAGCATATAAGCCTCTGACACTGAATCTTTGAGGACCAAATGGTTTGGGAGATAGAATTACTCTTTATGCAAGTAGTATGCAATGCATTAGACATACCTTCTATGCAATGAGTTAAGGTAGGATAATGACACCACAGAGTACAACTACACAGCTGCAGATGTAAGGCACTATTAAAAGAACATTATCACCATGATTTATAGGATTGTCTTACAGACTAGTGGACACATAGGTAATAAATACTACCTTGCCTTCCTAAGGTCAGTGTAGGTTAGACTACCTTTAATTAGGATTTGCACAGATAACATACTGTATTTCTGTTTGCACAAACTGCTGGTGAGAAAATGGCACCACATCCACATTCGACAGCCATGCAGAGATGTGTTTCGAGCACTGCCAACCTCTGAAGTATCGTACTGTTTTTTTTTTTGTGTACATACTCACACCTGTCATCTCCTTTACATCAGCAACTGCCCTACATTCTGGTAGGTATATCGTACATGAAAGCTGTTTTGTTTATGTAAGATTAATGTAGAGTAGACTAGATTTGGTTACCATTAAAAGGGAACATACTGTACTTATGCTGATACCAACAGCCTTTGGTCCCAAGTTTTGCCACATCCCATGCAACAAGGCCTCAATAAGTTATGGTGTACTAGGGAACTGATTATGGAGACTATGGAGTGAAAACTGAATCACTGTCTTGGGCTGGGTACACATGTGCAAGATTTCTCATGAAGGTGCAATATCAGTCCTATACTTCACAGTCCATTAACCTATACATGAATTCAGTAAAGTATGGGGTGGAAAGAGGTTCTCTCCTATTACATGCAAGCGTCTTCTGATTCACAAGAAACCATGAACCCTTGCTTGTGTTAAGGTTGCAATGTCTTTGCTTCCTGCAAAGTGGAGTGATCAATTCTGGATTTTTTTGCAAGTTGTCTTCGTACTTTTGAAACTTAAATGTATAATGGGAATGGGGGGGGGGGATTCTTCACCAGGAAAATTTACGGAAAACACTGACCAATATTTAATTTTTCACAGGTTACCGACGTTGGCTGCATCTTACAATCCTTCCTGTTAACCAGCTGCTCTAAGCAAACTATTTCATGGGGTTCCTCCATGGCTACGGAAGGATGCATGGAAAGTACACCAAAACAGAAGACAACTGCCTCCTACCGGTTCTCATCCTACAGCACGTATTAACCTAGCAATTGATAACAGCATCCATATGTTAACTGAATAACTAACCAGACATGGAGTGGAAAGCAGTGTCTTGTCCAATATTAAAACAAATCATCGGGATATCGAAATGTGAACTGCACAGGGTATGAGAGACTGCTACTTTATAGCAATTAACATTTCCCTCACGAAAATATTCGCATACTGCCTTCAATATGACCTCGGTGTCTAACCTAATTCGTAATTTATAAACAAATAAAACAAATGCTTCCACTTCACACTTGGTTCAGAAACTGTCAGACACCTTACTCATTACTACACTTACATTCCGTTCTCTCCATTGTACAGTACAATTACCACGCGAACCACGTGCACAAAACACGGCGTCACCCCCACCACAAGTTCCACGCTCCACACCACAGAACACAGCGATAGAATTTTTCACGGCTCCTCCAATTGCCCACACAACCACGTGATTGACCAAGTGATCAAAGCAGGTCAAAGCCATCTGACTTGGCCTGGTCTCAGGTATTTATAACCCTTGTGTTTTATGACTTAGTTGTCCAGTGGTTGAGGCTATCTCTTTCTAAGGGGCCGAACAGAATAGGTGTTTTACCTCACCTGAGGACGGAAACATCCAGTTTCCGAAACGTCGTGTTTTTTTTTTTAGTTATCTTAAAAACCAGGACGATGGATGAAGTCCGAAAACCCAATATCTCTGTGTGTTACACACCATCGTCAGAATCCTATAGTAGTTAGTTAGTTAGCTACTGGAGAGGGTGGGTTTCCCCATGCACTTAGACCGGTATTGGTCCATTGTGCTTCCCTCTATGATATTCTACCAGTCTCTATACCCTACCGATAATGGTGCGTACCATCAGTCCCGCCGAGCAAGCGAGTTCGGCCACTTGCTTGGCGGTAGTTAGTTAGTTAGAGAGTGTGGGTTTCCCCCTGCACCGCGACCAGTTTGATCTATTGTGCTTCCCTCTATGATATTCTACCAGCCTCTATATCCTACCGGTACTGCTGCTTACCATCAGTCCCACCCAGCCAGCGAGACC